TATGGTTGGATTTTTTTCCGAGCGCTTTGATTTGGAAGTGTATTTATGTAAGGTTTTGGATGAAAGTTTAATTAAGCACGCAACCAGTATTGGAAATTTTTTTTCGGGGGTTTGGAAACAGCAAGAAGATTGTTATTTGTGTAAAAGATCTAATCAAACATTTCTAGCAAGAAAGATTCTCAAATAGAAACGACAAGTTTTATGATGTTTATCGGTATGATCACGACATAGCCTATCGTAATGATGTTCCTCAACTGCTTCAAGTGACGAGAATCGAAGTCGCCCTGAAGGTTCCAATCGGATTTCCTCGTGTATTGAATTCCAATATTTATGTCCCAGTAGTGTAGAATCCAAAAGGTCAAAATTAGAACAAAGTTTGATAAATATACACGGCAAGACAGTTTGGGATAATTGATAGTCAGCTTCCCTGACTTTGATGCCTTCGGTACTCCTTGGTCAATTTCCAGTCCGACAGTACACAACAATTGCATTACTATACGTCATCTAATGGCGTCAATTGTGTAGACCTTTAGACCTGGACTCTATCTGTTTCCCCTCGATGGATTCTTTTCAGTAAATGCCAAAAAACGATGCGAATGGTTCATTACTATTGATTATATTCAATATGTTCTCGTCATCCTCTGAATGTTCTTTGTAAAAATCTGGTTCATTACTCGTTCGCCACTCACAAAAAGTTTCATCTAAAATATAATTGGAAATTGATTTTTTTTTTCCTATGGTAGAAAACTTTATGCAACAAGGATAAATGTTATTGGCATGACAGGCTCTTTAAACGGGCTTTTCTAAAAGCCGCAAGTCAAGAATGAAGTCAATAAGAAGCCTGATTGGGACTGGCAACACATGTCCCGCACGACCATTTTTCTTGGGGAGAGTTATGTACGATGCGTTCTCATTTCTTTCAACTAGATCTTGCACAACAATCCCCCCCAGCAGCTGTTGTTCGTATACAAAAGTGTTACTATTATTTCAAAAATAAAAATCGACACGCCAGTGTTAATGTTTTTATACACGGGCTGTAACAATGAATGTGCGGTATTTTATACCCTCGGAATAAAGGCCTTTTGATGGGTTGTAGACCGACAGATGTTAACAGGGCCAATGTCTCTCAGCATAAGTCCCATTCCTATGTAAATAACAAAAAGTCCCGTAATGGATTCTTTATTTACCACGCAGAATAAGACAATATCGATGTTTACCAAATCGATTGGTACAAACATATTTCATTCCCAATGAAGTCTATTACGGATATTGGGACGCCTAAGTGTTGTAAGGATATGTATGAAATTATCTGTTCTTTTTTGAAAAATGTCAACATATTCCTTCGGGGAAGGGTTAATTTCATATATGGGCTTAGGTAACCTTTTTAGCTTCGAGATTGTCTAACCAGATCGATATTTCATCAATAATACACAGCCCAAGTAGAAATAGCCCATGTGCATTAACACATGTGGATTCCACCGTGTAGCTAACATTGTTTTCCCATCAATTACTCGGATCTCATTCCAGTGTAAATTTATGAATTCTTTATGAAATTGCATGATACAAGAGAAAAGTCTTTTCTTTTTTCAATCCCCATGGAAAATTCTCTCAGACGGATCTTTTGATCAGAAAGGTGGCACACATCTTTGCCAAAGCCTGTCTACAAGTTTACACGCATTTGCAATAAACACTTACATAAATATGATAGTTACATGTGCTATCAAAACAATTGAGGATGATAGAAACAAGATGTCCAGCATACCATTAGCATTTGTAAGGTGTCGGAACTACTTTCTGAGATTGTTTCCCTGTTCAATATGAACGTAGATTGATTTATAAATACGCTCTTCAGACCTTTACTATGCAATGCGCATCACGAGACACGTGTCTTGGTGTATAGAGCTTATCCAATTTGTTCCAGAAGCATACCTTTTTTTATTCAACACCCCCGTGATATATATCTATGTTACATATTTTTCTAGGCTGATTACAAAGTTATGCGTGATATTGGTAACTGATCTTCGAGCAATGTAGTTGATGGTAAAGGATCTTTATTCGTGTATCTATGACATGAAATACAACTTGGCATATTTTTATCGTGCCACGGTGTCCTTTTATCTTGGTATTATTATTTAACATTTGCATTGAGAGCCTTCTTAATTTTAAAATGTAAACAATAATTATTGTTATATCGGGTAGAATATATAGCACAATTATAAGGCTCTATGCTTGGTTCTCTGTCCAATGCTGCAGTTTGCCTTCGTTTCTATCCTCTCTGGTATACATCTCACAATCTGATGTTAGATAAAAGCCAGGTGTCTTGCTACCAAGTAGGTTCTTAAATTAGAGGATTACTAAGTTTTTGTAGATAATGTGGTAAAAAGGAAAAATATTGATACGTTGGCAGGTCAGATCTCAGCACTGAGTAAATATTATGACTGAGCGATGTGTTGGAATTATATGTTCCTCTTTTATCGAGTAGGGGGCGAAGATCCAGGGGCGAAAAAGATAATTTTTATCATTTAACAGCCCCCGTGAATTGGGATCAAAATCTTCAATATAGCAATGGAATATATTTAATTTTCGATGTTCTTGAATTATCACCACTAACTGAATCATTTCCTGGCACATTCTCGAGATACGGGTTCTCAGAAGGATCTATAGTTAACGCTTTATTAAATTTTCCTATTCCTTTTTCCAAGATCGTCTCAAGAGCTTTAGAACAAGCCTTGGTGACGCCAAAAGTAAAAACTGGGAATGATAAAAAGAAAAGTGGGCATCATTTATTGATGATAGAACAAAAATATGTTAAAAGCTTTGAGAATATATGATATGCGAAACTTTGTATCTGTGTCGGGTTTTGAGATGGGAGAGGGTGATTTTTACTGTACATTAATTTGAGATACCCCTCGTTGAAAGCAACCTTTCATGATAAACTAAAATAAAAATATCCAAGAAACAAGTTTTAAAGACAAGTTCCTTAGTTTACTACAGGAAAAATTTAGTGAATCGTTGCTTGCAAATAAAGCGAAAAATTAGTTGTATAAATATTTGTGGTTTATTAAATAATGTACTTAAAAATACACCAACATAGAGCACATTATTGCATGATGTTTCCAATAAAAGAATTCTTTTGAAACTGAAGAAGCACACGACCTTTATTAAATTCATACAGCGAACAGATGTTTTACATACAGTTAGAAGAGCTCATTTTCGGGTTCGACAAATACCTTTGTTTTCCACTCACAGACGATACGATGTTAAAGCGGAATGCACGAAATGTTATACAAAAGAAAGATTCCATAATTTTATTAGTTTCCATGGGCACTGTTTTGTTCGAGAATTCGCCCGGAGGTAAGACGAGGTCAAGAATAACTCAACAGCTGTTCCAGTAATTTAGATATATCTGTGATCGACGGCCCTTGTTCGAATGCAGACAAATGTAAATTACATTTATATATATGATTTTTTATTCAATTACTGGTTTATCTGTAATAATAATACCGTGCCTTGGTTTCAGAATTATTTGATACCGTCCCAACTTGATTTTTTAATGAAATGGAACTCCTCATTGCATGTTATTCTGATTACGAAAACAGTTACAAAATAATTTTTTAATTATTGAATTCATTGGACGAAGGAAAGTGAAAATGGTCCCTGTCGTGGTTTGTTTTGTGGAAGGCAATGAGACATGAAAGATACATCGATAACAAGCCATTAGTCCCCGAAACACTGATTGTTCAAAAGCCGAGATCTGCAATTAAACTCGGAGAAAGCAACATGATATTTTAAAAGCATGTACCTATCATTTGGTGCACATTCTTTATAGCTGCAGATCAGTATAGTTAGCTGGTGGGGGAAAATGGGTTGAACGAACAGAGAGTTAGTGCTAACTATTGAAAAATAGTATACTTTAATGTAGCACACGAAAAGTGCTATGAACTCGATTTATTTCTACGCTGTCATTTCAAAACATACTCCTACTTGTTTTCCTAACATATACTTTTATTACCTAAGCAATAAATATGACGGTATACAAAGCATGCACGAATCTATCGTCTGTAAACCTTGGGATATTCACATTGACTATATACACCTGAATAAACTGAAATCTCTGTTAAATGACAGTTAACTATGTCCAAAATATGTCTTAAAATCAAAGATGTAAATTAAGGCCCATATAAGATGCATTCTGAGTGAAAACTCATTATGTTTGATACTAATAACATTTCAAGACAGGCGAAGCTTAATTGTGCTCTATTTTTTCATTGTCTCATCCAGTTTTCCTGCAAGAATGGCCTGATTTCTTTCAGAAAAAAAGCAGCAACACCCCAGATTTTATCGCACTTCAGGCGAGCGTAGCGGTACTTTGACACCTTTATAAACAATCTGGGAAGAGAAATAATATATCACCCAATCAACTTGCTGTCGACACGTTATCAGATGATAGATAAAGTCTACACAATGCTGCAAATGCCGAACTTTTACTTACATATAATCCAGTGTATATAATTTTCAGAAAAGGGTGCGTTTGTTTGGACAAAGGCGAAAGACGCGTCGAAACATCAAGGCACTGGAAAAGATAAAGTGTAGAATTATGATAAAGATTTCTGGTAGTAATTGAAGTTTCATGTTTTACGCCACGGAATAATATTTTTTTTATTCGAAAGAAAACACTCGGATAACTGAGTCTGAGAAAAACAGAAGGTTGTACAATTAATACATATCTATATTGGGATTAAGAACTATACAAGTTGGGCCCTTCATGCACGATTATGTGATATGAAAGTCGGTTTAGAAAGTTCAATAATTATTACCAAAGTACAACAGAATTCTACACAGAGGAATATGCAGCACGGAAGATGTTCCCAAAGACATCAAAAGAGGGCCATCCGAATGAAGAGAATACGAATGTAGTTGCTCACACCAATTACATATAATAGCAATAGACAAGCGTGCACAATAAAC